TGATTTCAGAGAGGAAGGGAGAGGGAGAGAGATAGAAACATCAATGATGAGAGAGAATCATTGATTGGCTGCCTCCTGCATGGCCCCCACTGGGAATCAAGCCCACAACCCAGGCATGCGCCCCTGACCAGAATCGAACCCAGGACCCTTCAGTCCACAGGCTGGTGCTCTATCCACTGAGCCAAACCAGCCAGGCTGAAAGACTACTTTAAATGAATCTTTATTTTGCAGATTTATCTTTGGAACCATGTAAACATATTTTTTAAATTATAAAACAAAACTTAATAAAAAAGAAAAATAATCAACCCATACAAATTGAAAGCAAGCAAAATGAAAACAAAACAAAACACCTATGTATCAAGTATTAAGTTAGTGGCTTAACCACAAAGAAATTATTGCAAGAGGCACAATAATTATTTGACACTAGACAGAAACCCTGAGCTCTTTTCAGTAATCCTTTTTTGGTAATAATATTGGTACTGTTATTCTGAAATTATATATATGGACAAAATAAAAAAGTAATTGAACTAATCTTGTCAGGACTAAAAAATTTTTTTAAATATATTTTATTGATTTTTTACAGAGAGGAAGGGAGAGGAATGGAGAGCTAGAAACATCGATGAGAGAGAACATCAATCAGCTGCCTCCTGCACACCCCACACCGGGGATGTGCCTGACTAAGGTACATGCCCTTGACCGGAATCGAACCTGGGATCCTTCAGTCCGCAGGCCGACGCTCCATCCACTGAGCCAAACCAGTCAGGGCCAGGACTAAAATTTTATTGTGAGAGACAAGAAATAAAAATATAAAGCAGCCCTGGCTGGTGTGGTTCAGTTGTTTGGGTGTCATCCCATGCACGGAAATATTGCAGGTTGGATTCCCGGTCAGGGCACATGCCCAGGTTGCAGGCTCGATCCCCAGTAGGGGGTGTGCAGGATGTTTCTCTCATCAATATTTCTAACTCTCTATCCTCTCCCTTTTTCTCTCTCTAAAAATCAATAAGAAGTTCTTTAAATATACATATTTAAAGAATATATATAAAAAGCAAAGGCTTTAAGTAAAAATTACCATTCTAAATTTGATTTCGCTAATTTGATATCATTATGA